AATACTTATTGAAATATTTACAAACACAGCCTCCTAATCCTTACACTCCCATTTTGCCCAGGAGAAGACATTTCCATCCAAAAGCCAAATGCAGCAAAACACCCTGAAAAGAGAAGGAAAGCTTAAATGTGAAGCCCTTTTCACCAACTGGCTTACAGCACACACAACAGAAAAGGCTTTGTTTACAACCAAATAAGCTCAAAGAACAACTCTTTGGTTATTTCCCCCTGCAAGTGGGGCACAGCACAGGACAAAATGCAAACGCAATGATTCTGAACACAGACGCACAAACAAACGTGACTCGCTGCCCCCTCTGCAAATTCCATGGGCTCAAGACTATGGCGGTGATTCGGGTTTGGTCACATTCAAACAGGGACACATTCTCACCCGTGCATGAAGAGAACCCTGAACAAAGGACCAAGCAGAAACTCAAATTTAAAGGCTACATATCCAAGCCTACTTCTAACCCGATGTGCAATGAAGAGAGAAATAAAAAAAAACTTCATATCCGTCATTCAAATCAATAGTTCAATTTATTATTTGATTTGATTGCTACCGCCAAGTGGGAGGAAAAGGGTACATTCTTTAATTATGGTTTATTTTTCTGTTCTATTTTATTCTTTAAAAGGAATATGGCTGCAAAGCAGGTTCACCAATTTGAAGATGGCGTGCCAAGTAAGATACCACCAAATCTACTTGTATGTGCAAAATGTGGCCCCTTATGTTATTCTTAACTCCAGAATAATGAAAAATGAGGACTTGAGATTCACTCCCATGGCCTCAAATTATTCCAGCTGCAGTGATCTAGAAACTGTCAAATTCCATTTGAAGCAGCTAAATAAATGGAATTAGAGAGCAGAACATTGTCAAGTCCGCATGAGGAAGAACTCCCGCAATCAGTACTCTTAATCCACTGAACGATGAGAGCCCATCCATGGAAGCCTGTGAACAGAGGCTGGGTGGCTCACTGTTAGAACCTTGCAATGAGCAAGAATCTGTGCTCAAGGTCCACTTAGGTTCCTTAGAGATCTAAACTTCTGGGATGGACAAGTGTTCACAATGAGGACCTCAGAAATTGTACAGTACCCAAATCCTACTGCAACCTAGGAAAAGGAGTTTACAGTTCCATATTCTGATAGTAGTGGTGGTGCCACAAACCTGTGTGTGTGATAAAACTGCTGAAAACATGCACACAAATGCATGTAAGAACTGGTCAAATCTGAATAAGGTGTGTAATCTAGTTAACAGTATCGTACCACTGTCAACCTCCTGGTTTTGACACCATATACGACAGTGTGATTGGGAATGGATTCCCAGTCCCCTGGAGATATTTGGCAATATCTGGAGACATTTTTGGTTGTGACAACTGGGGGAGGGTGCTACTGACATCCAGTTTCAAGGCCAGGGACACTGCTAAACACCCTACGTTGCACAGGAGGGCAGCCCCCTTCCTCCCCTGTTGGCCAAGCACGCACACACACACACACACACGCACAAACACACAGTTGGCCCAAAACGTCAATCCTTCCAAGGCTGAGATATCTTGTACTAAAATCACCTAAGAGGTTATCATTGGGGGGAGCTGGATAAAGGGTACATGTGGCCTCATTACACTATTTTCGCCATTTCCTGTGAGTTTATAATTATTTCAAAATAAAAACTTAAAGAAATATTTTTAAAGATTCCATTCTCTTCAGGGATCTACTTCTCTGGATATCTGTCAGCCACTCATGGAAAATGCAACACTCAATTAGCCAAAGGGTTCAGTTCTCCAAGGATCTCCATGAATGTCAGCATATGACACCCACTGGGCATTTCTGTGGTGGTGTGAAAGAACAGCCAAAGGTCGAAGCCAGAACCCACACCAAAATCAAATCCCCAATGCCCTTGGCTCCTTGCATAAACCCTCCTTCAGGGTTAAGAGAGGTCTCCCTCCTCGAGCCTGCCAAAAATATTTTACCATCTGCAAAGATAAAGCACATATAGACTTTTAATTAGTTATATATGCTTTTATACTTATGCATCTCTAAATTGAACCCCTCACTCCCACCTCAGTGCCTGGCACATAGCATTGCATCATCCATCCAGTGAAGCAAAGTACAGAAGTTTGCATTAAACACTCCAGGCCACAGTCCAATGTTCCTTCCTCTGTAAGATATTCCAAAACAATCCAGTACAGAGATAAGTTCTTCTATTACACCATGAGCAGCATATAGATCAAGCTGCTACTTGAAGTGGAAAAAAATAATTTTCTCCTAGCGTAGTTGAACTGCACGAAACTGACATGGACTCCCCTAATCAAGTTCACACTTAAATCAGTCTTCCCACTTTGGCCCAGGGCAGAGGATTCTGCTGAGCAAACACTGAAATAAAAAAGGACAGGAGATAAAAATACGAGATAAATGTCACACTTCTCTTGCCATGGTAGGGGAGAGCTCTCGAAAAGCCCCGCAGAATTCATTAGAAACAAGGCTGACATGGTAGCAGGCCCAGAGGCGGCTGTCCCAACAGCCCTCTGACCCGAATACTTTCTGAAGACCTGTTTTCAATCTGGGGCTTGGAGATCCCAGTGGGTGCCAGGGCCACCCTGAGATTGGCAACATTTCCTGCTGGAGCAGAGACTAGGTGCCGAATAAACAGGCTCCCCTATGGCCTGTCTCTATCTGCAAGATGGACTTCCAAAAGCAAACGAGCTTTTTCTTAATTCAGGTTGCGTTCTGATTTCTCCTCCAGAGACCCCATTCCAAGGGTGGCAAGAGCTTTTTCTCCAAGGCCTAAAGAGGGTCACCTCCCCATGTAACCCCTGAGTCTACAAACATATTCATCTGTGGACACTGCTCGGGCCAGGCTGTGACTTTCTGAGCTGTTTTCTGTGGGGAAAGAAACCTACCTACCTTAGGAATGATGTCTGGTCACTTGCACGAGTCCCCAGGACAATAAAGCTGACTTACTTGTCAGGTCTTAAACATCACCTCTCCAGGGAAGCATTGCCCCAGCCCCCCAAAGTCAGTGAGCTCCCCTGGCTTATTTGCTTAACACCCCACACTTCCGTGCAACCCTCAGCACAACTGCGATCACTTTCTCAGAGTCCCCAGCTGAGTTCCATGGCGGGGTGGGGGAAGAGGACTGTCTTGCTCTCCCCACCCCTAGAATCTCACCCAGCACTGGTACTCAGCAGGTTCTTGGTAACGGCCTGTGGAGTGAATGAAAGGTTCACAGGAAGACTAGAACATAAGCTGGCAGGCACACTGGAAGCTTTCATTAAGAGGTTTTTATAGCAATTGACAAAGTAAAGTGAGTGGCAGGTGCTAGCCTTCCTATTTGCAAATGATGATGGGGTTAAAGCTCACAAAGCTGCGCCATGATCCCAGATCCCGGAGTTGATGAGCCCTAGACATGGGGGTACAGTCTTCAGACTCCCATTCTGGAGCTCCTTCTACTTTCCTACTTGGCACCACCCGCAGTGACTACAGAAGCCAACATACATGTCTCTTGCCTACCCCACCCCACCATGCCCAGGGTGGAGCTAAGCACGTAGCAGCCACTACAAAAACTAGAATGCAGGTGGATTTGATTCAAACTGCCAAACCAAAAAGGCCCTAAGTTAAAAAGCGCAGGAGAAAGGCTTTCAAATCTCCCAAGCCAGCAAGCGACACTGAGCAAGTTACTTAAACTGTCTGAGCCTCACCCACCCTTCAGAGCCACTGAAAGGATTAAATGAGACAGTGGCACCTAAAGCTTCTAATGGAGTCACAGTCGACATTCAACAAATAGGAGCCTCTTCCCACTCCTAACCCTGTTATTAAGCCACTGCGGCTCTTATGCATTTGAATTCCCACAACTCTTCCCTGAAACACTGGAAATTCTGGATGGCTGTGTTCAGGGCTGTCACACAACTCAGAAATGCCCACCCATTCAAAGTTGGCCACAAATGGAAGCACGCAGGGCCTCTGCAAAGGGCAGTGCCCAGATGGGTCCACCCTTTCAGGAGTTCTGTGTCCTCACCCCCTCCTCCACTTTCCCACTGCCCTGGCTGCTGACTTTCATGAGCAGTTTAACCAAACAAAGACGATGCCTTCCCTACCCAGAGCCCTGTAACGGTGGCACCCGCACGTATCTCCTTTCAGGAAGGGCCATTGCAAGGCCAGAGAATTTGGCCACATTCCTGCTCACGCCCCACTCTTGACATACTAGGCCTGCAGCCCCCTGCAATTCGAGCAAAGAACATTTGAAACAACTAGAGAAAGCCCCACTTCGCAAGGTGGATAATAAACTACGACATTTAGTGGAAGTCATTTCCCTAAGAAAATGGGGTTGGCAGCAACTGAAGATGGATTTGAGAAGGGTGTGAGATGCGGATGAAAGACGGAGCACGGCAAGCAGCCAGGCAGCGGCCCTGTCCATCAAGCCGGAGTCCAGGCTGCAGCAGACTTCAGGCAGACTCCCCAGAGGAGGCTGTGCCATCCTGCCCCCGGGCAGAGGACCCAAGGGACCCACTGAGAATGGGAGGGAGGGAGCTGAGAAGGGACACGGCTGGGGAAAGACCCACTGGCAGAATTTTCTCCAGAAGACCATCTGCCAAAACAGCCAGCCATCCACATCCCCAAAGCGGAAATTCAGCTGTATTTGAGGATTGAAGAAATAGGCAGAGAAGGAAGAGGTCTCCAGCAGAAAGCTCCTTAGCCAGGGGATTTCAAGTGTGGCGCAAAAGAGGCTTGACTCTCCCGGCAGCCTCCCAATTGCACAACTCTCTCTTTACCTAAGGGCATAAGCCAGAGCTGAAATGCGGATCAGCGTCAAGGTCAAGTTCTGGGGAGCTGGGCGGGGCCTGCGGGAAGCATAGATATGGTCCCATAGGGAGGCAGAGGCTGCAACGGGAAGACCAGGGACTCCAGGGACTGGCCCATCCCAGACACACAGACTGGGAGAAGCCAGTTGTCCCCTGGAGGCGCGCATCCACAGGCACCCCCTCGGGCCGCCCAGCGCAGAAAGTTCCTTACCTGGTAGAGGCGGCTCCGGAGCTGACTTCTCCCTCTTGGGAGCTTTCTTGGGATTGGTGGCCTTCTTGGGCGGCCTGGGCTCCTGCGGGCGCGGCTCCCACTTCTCCCCGGGCCCCGCAGGCAGCAGCGGAGAGAAGGGCTCGGGCTCGGGCTCCTGGCGTGTGTAGTAGGGCTCCCGGCTCCAGATCTCCTGCCCGTAATAACCGGGGTCCTCGAGGGCTGTGCCCTGGGCTCCGACCCCGGCCAGGGTCACTGCCAGGAGCACCAGAGCCAGCGCCAGGGCAGCGGTCCCCAGGGGGGACATGCCCGCTCCGCCCCGCGCCCAGGCCAGGGTCACAGTCACCGGGAGCGCTGGGTGGGCTGTGGGCGCAGAGAGTGGCGCAGGGCAGGGGCGCAGGGCACAGCACAGCGGCGGGCGGTGCGAGGGAGGCGGCCGGCCAGCGGCGCGTGTGACCGGCCCGCCGGGCTGGGCTGGGCTGGGCTGGGCTGGGCTGGGCCGGGGCGGACAGGGGCGCGCGGAGGCGCGGGGCGGGCGCAGGGGGGCCGGCCCCGCCCTTCCTTCTTCCCTCCCTTTCCCGGCGACCCCGCCGAGGCAGGTCCTTGGAGGCAGATGTTCCAAGCAGCCAAGCCCAGGAAAGCCCCCTGCGCCCCACAGTCTCTCTCCAGCCCCCTTCCGCTCCCCCGCAGGCCTGGGGGCCTGCTGGGCGCCTGCTTCCCCAGAGACGCTAATGAGTTTCAATCTTAGGAGAAAACAGTGAGGCCTGCTCTTCCATTCCTTTGTTTTACAGGTGGAGAAACGTGACCTGAGAAGAGAAAAGATTGGCCCGGGGTCCTAAAGCAAATCAGAGTCCAGGCAGCATCCAGCTCTCAATGCCCAGCCGTCTGCTGACCACCCTGCAGACATGGATTTCCCACCGGCCGTGCTTCTGTTTCCAGGACTGGGAATGAGGAATTCCTGAGGTTCCCCGGTTTTCTGGGAGTAAGGATCCCTGGGAGTAGGGGCTGGGAACCCTGGAGGAGCCCTGCTCCCATCTGAGATTGTGATTCTGTTGGGTCTTGGGAAAGACTGCGACATTACCCCAGGGCTGCCATCCAGGGGTCACAAGAGGGTTTGTGGTTGATCCAAGAGCAGGCTTTTGCCCAGAGTGTCCTTTGAGAAAGGGCCTCTGACTTCAGACAACTCTGCATGGGTCCCTTATGTGAAGCCCAGGGCCATGGCCTGGAGGTTTCTGCTCTCCAGGTAGGGATGTGGGGAACCAGGGACTGCATGAAACAAACGATGACAAACAGTGACTTCAAACAACACCGGTCTCACATCTCTGCAGGTGAGAAGGCTGATGCAAGTGTCACCAGGCCAAAACCAAGGGGTTGGCAGGACTGGGTTCCTTAGGGGAGCCTCCAGGGAAAAGTCCGCTCCCTCACTCACTCAGGGATTGGCTGCACTCAGTTCCTTGCGGTAGTAGGACTAGGTGCTGTTCACTTGCTGGCTGTGGGCTGAGACGCATTCCCTCCTCCCGGCTGCCGGTGTTTCCTGTCTTCTGCAGGCGCCTCCAGGCCTTTCCCTGGTCCTTGCACGTGGGCCTGGCATCTCAGAGCCAGCGCTGGCACAGCTTCACATCTCTTCCCTTCCTGCCACATCTTTCTGCCTTTCAGCTAGAGAAAATCCTCTGCTTTTAAGAGAGTATGTGATTAGATGGGCTCGCCCAAAGAATTTAGGATCGTCACCCTCTCTCAAGTGATGACCTTAACCACATTTGCAAAGTCCATTTTGCCATGTTCCCTAACTTTTTGCCAGGTTCCCTAACTGTCCCCTGTTCTAGATATTCAGGTATAGATGTCTTTGGGAAGCCATGAAGCATTTGGCAGGGACAGACTGACCCTCAACCCTGCATTGGCCTATGATCCTAGGATACCACTAAGCTGAGTCAGGGCCTCACCATTGCCCTGGAGTGAGGACTTCCTCAGAGTGGGGGCTCCTGAGACCCCCGCAGTGGCAGGGCTTAGGCCAGGACAGCTCTCATTATCTTCCTGCACCAGCCACTCAACCAGGCCATCTTTCAAGCTAGTCTTCCAGGCTTCCAGTTTGAAGGCCACAGCAGAATGACTGGGAGAGGAAGAGGCTGCTGGTTGAGGCAGGGCCTGTCTGGGGGAGCCCGAAAGCCTTGGACCTGCCTGTCAAACCCCAGGATGCTCCAGAACCCAGAGCCAGCAGAAGTCTCCAGGGTGACAGGGCAGGAGGGTCCCCTTCCCCACCCACCATTCTCTGCTCCCCAACCCTTCCTGAATCCCCGCCCGCTGTCCTCCGTTGCCTATCCGCAGGACTCACTCCCAAAACCAGGCACTCCAGACAGCAACATAGTCTTCAGTGGTGAAACAGAAAGCGCCTCCAGCAGCAAGCAACACACCCAGTGTTCCAGCAAGCTGTATGAAGTGCTGACAAGAGGCTGGCCTGGCATCCTGGCCAGAGGGGCTGCAGAGGCTTTCCAGGCCCGGACTGTGCCCTGCACCACCTCCCTCAGAACCTCCGGAGCTTGCTCAACAGCAGACAAACACCCAGGCTGCAACCCAGACCTTCAGAATCTCCTAAAGAGGGGGTTAAACCACGAGCATATCTAAGAAGTTCCTTAAGTAATTCTGACAGAGTCCAAATTTAAGATGAATCTTCTCCCTCTCATTTTACACAGGATCCTGAGGCCGAGTCACCCAAGGACACACAGCAAGTCAGTGATGGTCCAGACTAACCCTGTTCTTCTGCCTTCAACCAGTATTTAAAGTCAGGCTGTATACATCTCAATGGCCCCAAACTCATGAGTCCTGAAGACATTTTACTTCTTTTCAGCACTGCTTAGGTGAGTGACATAATATACACCTGCTCTCTGCAGTGTCTCATAAGTATCCAGAGAAGACCCCACCCAAACATGCCTCTCAACACGTCCCTGGAATCAAGAAATGAACCCACTCATTACTGCTCTCCCTATTAATGCTTGCTTGTTTGTTTTCCCTGGAGAGGCCATAATTAAAGCAAGCAGAACAATTTAGAACAAGAATTGATTGCACTGATTCCAGTTCTCCCAACCCAGCAGCCCACGGCACTGTTCCTGGAGTGTTCTTTGTCTACCTCTGGCTCCCTCTCTCTGGTGCTGCCTGTCCTGGAAATGTGCAGGGCACAGCCAGAGCTCAGGAGGTTTAGGAAGATAGGGTGGCAAAGCCGACCTCATTTTCCTGGTCTACAAGCTTTATCCTACCTCCCGACTCCTGCCTGTCTGCCTGGGAGGGTCCCGCATTCTTCAGCTTCTCAGATGAAGACCTCCCTGGTCATTTTGGCCCCATCTCTCCTTCACCATCTAATACACCGCAGTGAGTCCCGCTGCTCTCAGGCCGCACATTCTTTAATCTGCCTCTTCCTCTGTTCCCACTGCCCATCACTCAGCGCATGGTTCAGAGACCCATGGCAGATGATGGGAATCCATGCTCAGCAGTCTCCCTGCTTTGGGCCTGTCTGAACTGCCGCCCACCCTTCCTTCAAGACAACCAGCCATTCTCCCTAAATACCCATTCACAACCTTGCTCCCCAACCGGAGAATCTGCAGGGTTAGCTAATCCCATGTAGATCTAACCCCTTTGGGTAAGATTCAAGGCTCACCAGCTTGGCTCTTCTACTCCCCACTGGACAACCACTACAAGACAGATTCTTAATGGCTTCTTGTACAGCACTGATAAGCTCTGTGATTAATATGCTAACTTTGCATGTTCCACAGAAACCAACAGAGTACACGAAACACAGAAAATGTCAATAACCCCTTCTGCATCACTAATCTTGCCTAGAGTCTTTCATGGCATCAGCCAAAGAGTGCTTCTCTCTAGGACTTTCTTGTTCGCAATCTAATAATGTGTCTGTTTAACTCAGGTCTGGAACCCTCAGCAAGGGCTGTGAGTCTTTCCGCGTAGTGTAAGTGGAGCTCCAGAAAGCACTGACTCTCCCTGGATGTCAGCCAGGCTGTAAACCAGACACTCCAGTCAGGGGCAGCAATGGGGGCAAACTGAGAAACCAGAGTGGCAGTTCAGAATCCCCCCGGTTTCTGAGTTCTTCAAATGGTTCTTTAAAGTCAACCATTGTTTGCCTCAGTTGAGAATCTGCTAAGCAAAATAAGACTGTGTTCGTCCATTCATTCATTCCTTAGACAGGATTCTGCTAAGCCAGCTTCTGTTATGCAACATAAATCCATACTTGTCTAATAATCCTCAAAGACCTTACACGGCTAATAATTTTTCAAATATTTATGAGCCCCACAGAGGAGATTTATGTTAAGCTGCTTGGCAAGGAACAATAGAGTGTGTGGGTCTAGAGAACATTCTGTTGAAACAAATATTGTCAAGACATCAATATTTTTATAGCATTTTTCATAAGGGACTTTTCACACCTGCTCATTTCCCTAATTATCCCTGAGACTTTTACACTTTCAGAGAGAATGAAAATGGAATTTTTTTGAAAGATCATTAATTTGAAAAATTAGCTGCTATATAAAGAAAAATACATACTCAGGCACAGCCATTACTAAAAATATAGTCTTGAGATGGATGCACAGGGAGAGAGATACTAAGTTGTTATGGCAACTATCATTATAATTACAAAGCTGGAGCATTTTTCTCCTTCATTACTGTGTTGAGATGTGGTAGTTTAAATGGCAATGTCCTTTGTAATGTCCTCAATCTCATTACTACATAATTACCCATTTCATATTTAATTTTCAGCGTGTTTGTTCTTACTCTCATACCCTGTACATTTGGCATCTTTTGATAAGCCTTATTCTTAGTTCATGGGTCCTTTTTGCAGCTTAATTCCTCTCCTTGCTATTCCCTCCACTCTGTGGTTTCATTTTCAATTTGACCTTTGGGACACATGCTTTGGCATGAGGTATTCCATTTGTAAACAGTAAGACGCTGTCGCGAAAGCTCTTAAGAAACCACATGAACAGGCACCCAGGGAGGCACTGAATGCAGGATACACTGGAGCCTGCCAAGCAGCCTTGGAGACATTGCACTTCTTGGCCACCTACTATGTGCAGGATTATTTACAGAAGTGATCACATTTGACCTTTTTGCTGGGTTCTCTGTTTGCACTTCCTCTGGGCTCCAGCCCTCTGGGCTCTCCTCTATATCTGGGAGGCTGATCCTTATAAATTATTCTTGCCCTTTGGTTTCTGATTGGGATTGACCAATGGAGATAGGAAGGTGAGGTGAAGGGACTCTGGGTATTTATTCCCCTTTCCCCACCCCCACACTTCCATGTCCCCACACACTTTGGTCCCAGTGGTCCTGGTGGTGGCTACATCTTTGGGCTTCCCTGAGACCCACTTACTCAACTCTAGCCCTGAAGTGCTATGGAAGAACATGACTTCCTGCCAGCCTGAGCCTCCACTCATTAGTTTCTGCTGTCTCGATATCACAATTTGTCTCTACAGCCCTGCCCATACCTCTGCACTTCATTTAATGCACCTGTCATCTGTGTGTGCCTCTATTTCCTGCCAGGTCCCTGACTGATTCCATCCTCCCAAAGCCTTGTGAGGGGAGAATAGCTCCTTCTATCTTACAGCTGAGGAAGTGGCTAAGTCTCTTGCTGAAGGTCATGTAATTAAC